GCACTGATGGAAATGGTACAATTCATAAAATACTGTGATGCTAACTTCAATATAAATAAATGTCACTCTAAAGCATTGATTTAGTATCACCACTCAAAATTATTAATTAAATTGGAAAACATTAAAAATTTCTTGAATGTTAAACATAGCATACACTACGTACATACAATCATAGAACTTACTACCTAGATCCAAAATATAAATAAAATCAATCATTTAACAAGACTTAAAATAATTATATATTTATTCAAGCCCTAAACTTTCACAATATAACTGAAATTGGACAATAAACATTAAATCAACACATAAATAAAGAGGAAAGTGAATATTAACAATGGATTTGAAGATTATACCCTCAAAAACACCATTAGATGCTGGATTTTTCTAGATTTCGGATCGCTTCTATCGCTCATCGTCTCTAAGCTGTCGATGGTGGTAGGTTGTCCAGACTATTTCCCTTTCCCTTCCTTCTCAATTGCTGTATCTGCTTGCTACTTTGAACCTTGTAGATCCATGTCGTGGCCGGGTGATAGGGTTTCGAACCCTAGCCCAATCATCTCTCTTTGGCATTATGTTATAGCTTGCTGATGTGGAGGTCTTGGTCAACGTGATGACTAAGAGCGGTTAGGGTGGTTAGCTAGTTAGCTATTAATAAGGGAGTTGTTAGTGCTAATAGTGGATGTATAAATAAACCCTGATGTACAGTTTGGTGGATTGATTGGAAATTTACAAATCATTTCTTCTTTCTCTCTCTCTATATTCTGTTTCCCACCCCCTTCTCTGGTTCGTCTTCTTCTTCTCAAACAGCAAGGTTTTTTTGCTGTTACATTGGTATCAGAGTCCAGCGATACAGTGAAGATCATTGATTCTTCTGTATCTGGACCAATTCGACGACAATCAACCATGGAAGCTCAATTGAAAGCTCTGGAAGGGAGGTTCGCAGGCATGGACGAGAGGATTAACGTGCAAGATAGAAAAATGGATCAGATAATGACAATCCTGAAGAATTTGGAGAATAGAGCAGGTAAGGATAAAGAGGGCAGTCCTGCGCACGGAGGAGATGGAGGCTATTCACACGCAAGGACACTCAATTTCAATCCAAAACTGGAGTTTCCCAAATTCGATGGAAGCAACACAAGAACTTGGATTAAGAAGGCCTGTAAGTACTTTTCTCTCTGTAAGATTCCGGAAGATCAGTGGGTTGACATTGCTAGTTTACATATGGTGGATAAGGCTGAAAACTGGGTGACTAGCTACTTGTCTTTTAGAAAGTTTGTTGCTTGGCATGAGTTTATCATGGATGTAAATGCAAGGTTCAGGGATGATAAGGGGGAAAACGTTGTGGAGCAATTTAAAAAGTTGGAACAAAAAGGATCTCTTGAGTCATATGTTGATGAGTTTGAAGATTTAAGATCCATTTTGGTCCAGCATAGCCACTACCTTCCTGATTCATTTATCTTGGATTCATTTGTTGGAGGTTTGAAGCCTGCTGTTAAATTGTTTGTTAGAGCTTTTAAGCCTACGAGTATAGCTGAGGCTATTACCTTTGCTAGGCTTAAAGAGGAGTCACTGGAAGTGGAAGGGACGAAAATCTCTAAATTTAGCCATTATACCAATTCAGCAAAACCTCCTATTCTGCCTACTCCTCAGATGAAACCATATACTCAACAGAAGTTTAATCTTACAAATCAGACTGCACCTAATAAAAACTTTAAGTACATACCTGCTGATGTGAGGGCGGAGAAAATAGCTAAAGGACTATGCTATTATTGTGATAAGCCCTATGAGAGGGGGCATAAGTGCAGTTTTAAGGAACACCAACTATTCACTGTTGAGGTACCTGCTGAGTTGCCCAATCAGACTGAGGTGGAGGAAGAACTGGTAGAAAGTCCAGAAAGTCAATATGAATTGAGTGAGAAGGGTGAAGGCTCAGAAGCTTGCATCTCTGTACAAGCTTTAACGGGGGGCCAGAGTTACCAAACCATGAGAGTAGTAGGCATGGTAAACAAAAAGGCCATTCATATATTGATTGATTCGGATAGCACTCATAATTTTCTGGACCTTGACACCGCTAAAAACTTGGGGTGTAGCATTGAAGAAGTACCTACACAAGCAGTGACTGTTGCAGATGGTAATAAGAAAACCTGTCAGCATGCCTCTAACCAATTCATATGGAAGATGCAAGATAAGGAGTTTGTTACAGATGTGCTGCTAATTCCCTTGGGCAGCTGTGATATGGTCTTAGGGATTCAGTGGCTAGAAACACTAGGTCCTGTATTTTGGGATTTCAAGGAAATGACCATGAAGTTTGATGTGGGTGGACAGTCCTTTGTACTCAGGGGCTTGGTGAATAAGAAAATGAAGATTGTGAAAGGAACTCCAACGTCAAAGCTATTTCATAATTCAATACAGTTTTGTTTGCTGCAACTAACGAAGGAAGAAGTAGAACAACCCACTCTGGTGATACAATGCTTGGAAGGTGCAGAGGCAACTAACACTGAAAAGAAAGAACGGGAAAAGCTAAAGAGGGAATTCAACATGGTCTTTGAGGAGCCCACGGGATTGCCCCCCCTCAGAGGGGTATTTGATCATAAAATACCCTTGGAACCAGGATCCAGACCGGTTAATATCAGGCCTTACAGGTATCCTCTGAAGCAAAAGGACACTATTGAACAACTAGTGCAAGAAATGCTAGATAGGGGAATAATACAACACAGTTCCAGCCCTTTTGCATCCCTAGTAGTGCTAGTGGGAAAGAAAGATGGAACTTGGAGACTATGTATAGATTACAGGGAGTTGAATAGTAAAACCATAAAGGATAAATTTCCAATTCCTGTGGTGGATGAATTGATAGATGAACTTGCTGGAGCTGAGGTGTTCACTAAACTGGACTTAAGGTCTGGCTATCACCAGTTGAGAATCCACCCTCATGATGTGTACAAGACTGCTTTCAAAACTCACACGGGACATTTTTAATTCTTAGTGATGCCCTTTAGCCTCACTAATGCACCTGCTTCTTTCCAGAGCTGGATGAATGAGGTTTTTAAACCCCTATTGAGGAAATTAGTCCTAGTCTTCTTTGATGATATCTTGGTATACAGTAGGACCAAAGAGGATCATTGGATTCACTTGAGGCAGGTGTTTGAATTAATGAAGAAGCACATGTTATATGCAAAGCTTAGCAAATGCATATTTGTGAGCCCTAAGGTGGAATACCTGGGTCATTTCAGTTCTGCCAAAGGAGTTGAAACTGACCCTAAAAAGGTTAGTGCAGTAGCAGATTGGCCAGAGCCTACATCACCTAAGGAGCTTAGGAGTTTCTTGGGCCTAACAGGATACTACAGGAAGTTTATAAGGAGGTATGCCATGATTAGTAAGCCTTTGACTGATCTTCTTAAAAAGGGGGCTTTTGTTTGGACAAAAGAGGCTCATGATGCTTTCATATCATTAAAGAAAGCTCTAACTACTGCCCCTGTCTTAGCAGTACCAGACTTCAATGTACCCTTTGAAGTAGAAACAGATGCTTCTAGAGAAGGGATTGGAGCAGTCCTCATCCAAAATCAGCATCCATTAGCTTTTATTAGCAAGTCCTTGGGCCCTAAATGGCAGAAACTTTCAGTCTATGAAAAGGAATTATTAGCTATTGTCTTTGCAGTCCAAAAGTGGGAGCAGTACTTGATAGGCAGCCAATTCATTATCAAAACGGATCAGAAAAGCCTTAAATGGTTACTCCAACAGAAGATTTCCACTCCATTCCAACAATTTTGGCTATCTAAATTGTTGGGCTTTGACTATGAAATTGTTTGCAGAAGTGGAAAGGAAAACATGGCTGCTGATGCTTTATCCAGAGTACAGGGATCTGAAATCTTAATGATGGCAATTTCAGTGGTTTCCTCAGATCTGGGAAAGCTTATTCAAGACAGTTATCAACTAGATCAAAATCTGGTGAATATGATACAGGCCCTTACACAATCTCACCTTGTGAAACATTTTTCCTTCCAAGATGGATACTTAAGGAGAAAAGGGAAACTTGTAATAGGGCCTGATGATCAGTTAAAGTCTAAACTCCTCAAATGGCATCATGACAGCCCTGATGGGGGACATTCTGGCAGGGATGGCACATTGAAGAAACTGAAAACTTTGTTCTATTTGGAAGGGGATGTCCAAAACAGTGAGTCACTTTGTAAGAAACTGTTTGACCTATCCGGCCTCCAAGCATGAAAATGTTGCTTCTCCAGGTCTGTTACAGCCCCTCCCTGTCCCAGAAGGAATTTGGTTAGATATATCCATGGATTTTATAACTGGACTGCCTAAGTCAATGGGAAAGGAGGTAATCTTTGTGATAGTTGATAGGTTGAGGAAGTATGGCCACTTTATTGCTCTCAAACACCCTTTTACAGCCTTAGAAGTGGCTCAAGTCTACTTGGATCAAGTATTAAATTACATGGGTGGCCGAGGAGTATAGTGAGTGATAGAGATGCTATATTCATAAGTCAGTTCTGGCAAGGCCTTTTCTCCCTACAGGGCACTGAACTGCTTCTTTCATCAGCATACCATCCTCAAACAGATGGTCAAACAGAGGTAGTGAATAAATGCCTAGAAATGTAGTTACGGTGCATGTGTGGAAATCAGCCAACTAACTGGTGCATGTGGCTCCCTCTAGCCGAGTGGTGGTACAACACTCACTACCACACTGCCACTAAGATCACTCCTTATGAGGCTGTTTATGGTCAACCTCCACCACTCTATTTGCCGTATTTACCAGGAGAATCCAAGGTGGAAGCAGTAGATAGAAGCATGCAAAGAAGACAGCACATTATTGATCAACTAAAGTCCCATCTGCTGAAAGCTCAAAACAGGATGAAAGTCCAAGCTGATAGGCACAGATCTGAGAGAAGTTTTAATGTGGGAGATTGGGTTTGGCTGAAGTTACAACCTTATAGGCAACAATCCCTCCAACACAGAAGCAATAACAAACTATCTCCCAAGTACTTTGGCCCATTCCAGGTTGCTAGCACCATTGGCAAGGTTGCCTACAAGCTGAAGTTGCCTAGCCATTCTAATATACATGATGTCTTCCATGTGTCTTAGTTGAAATTGTTTCAAGGCACATTACCTACTGCGGTCCACATCCCAGCATGGTTCCAGGGGCAACATGCTAGTAAACACCCTACTCCAGCAGCAATTTTAGACAGAAGGATCCAGAAGGTGCAGAATAAGGCTCAGGTGCAGTACTTGGTCCAGTGGGAAGGATATAGTGATCTGGAAGCTACTTGGGAGCCAGCTGCAGAGTTCCAAGCTAGATATCCAACATTTGCAGCTTCAGCACAGACTTGAGGACAAGTCTTTTTGAAGGAGGAGGCATTGTTATAGCTAGCTGACGTGGAGGTCTTGGTCAACGTGATGACTAAGAGCGGTTAGGGTGGTTAGTTAGTTAGCTATTAATAAGGGAGTTGTTAGTGCTAATACTGGATGTATAAATAAACCCTGATGTACAGTTTGGTGGATTGATTGGAAATTTACAAATCATTTCTTCTTTCTCTCTCTCTATATTCTGTTTCCCACCCCCTTCTCTGGTTCGTCTTCTTCTTCTCAAACATAGGATTTCTCACCCTAGGCCCAGCATCGTTCCATCTCGTCATTTTGCTCTCTATTCTTGTACTCGCTCCTGAAGAATGAAAAGACAAAAAAGAATGGATTTGTGATGTATTGTGAATCTCATAATATGATATACATGGTGTAATTGGGTAGATTAAAATGGGTTGGAGTTTTGGTTACTTATTAGCCAAAACTGTTATGTTTGAGGATATCAAATATCAACACTAATAACATTTTCATTATTCATTTGAAGCATCCAATCAAGAGCATGCTCGAATCCAGTTTCAAAACATATTCAATCGTTCAAACATGGCCAGATTATACACACAACCAACTAACAATTAAACATTAACTCATATGAATGTTAGAATGCCAAAATTCTATGACTCACACAGCCTAAAGTCCCCAAGTTTTTCTCCTTCTTGCAATCTTATTGTTAGAATGCCAAAAATGCTACACAATAGTAAAAAACTTTCACTATAAATCGAGGGAGGAAAGCAGATCAGGGACAACAAGTAAATTGAACTATAGCATAACATCTCTAGCAAAGTGAAAAGCTGCCTTGTACCATGTTATTTCTTGTGCAGTTAAGATTTAATAAATTAAATGAAAAGAATAAA